CCCTCCATTCAACAGGCTGGGGAGGGGGACAGAAAAAAAGGAATGTCTTGGATCATACAGTTTGAACCAAGACTTACAAATTTAAGTACAATAATGGCAACATTTAACCATTTGACTCCAACACAGATATAAATATTTCGTTTGGTTTATAAGCTTAAATACAGCATGTTTTTGGTATGTGTTTTTTGATGACCTTAGCCATATTTTATTTTAAACGAAGAAGCCTTAGTATAATTATGTTAAAGTACCCTATAGCTCTAACGACTTCATGTATCTTTCTCTCGTAAGCCCCTTTTTTCAAACTTCGACTGTGGGCCTAGCTACATTTGTTCTTCAAATCTCAGGTGTGCTATGTTTGCATCTAGCAATACATTTGTATGTTGTGTATCTCTTTGTGCTTTGTCTGTATCACTTTTCTGTTGTGAAGATAGCTGAGACTTGTTCAACTCTTGAGGTACTTTCATTTACTTTTATAAATGCTTTATAAGGCAAAAATAGTCCTCACTTTAAATGAGGTCACAAAATACTTAACAACTAGTAACTGTCTCCGATTACTGTTTGTGATGCAATGAACATATTACTTATCTGTTCTCATAAACTGCATACTAAAAAACTGCATACGATGACCTGGATGACTGAGAACCTTCACATGCATACTAATGCGTTATAAATAATGAATTAAAATGGCCTGCATTTGTATAGCGCTTTACTCAGTCCCTAAGGACCCCAAAGCGCTTCACACTACATTCACACAGTGGTGATGGCAAGCTACATTGTAGCCACAGCCACCCTGGGGCGCACTGACAGAGGTGAGGCTGCCGGACACTGGCGCCACCGGGCCCTCTGACCACCACCAGTATTAAGTACTTACTGATACCTTACTAATGCTTAAGAGCCATTATGTGTGTGTTACCAAAAAGTGTCATGCTGAAGGACCTTTACTGAGAAAGAGGTATACATTTAATAACTAGTTTTGAACAGTGCTGATAACTGGAAGTGTTTGTTTTGGAAAGTTACCACATTTACCAAAGGAAGTCACTGCAGCTGCGATAAAATGGATAGGGATCAGTCAGTGCAAACCACATAAAAGGGTTTGCTACACAGTTCCATAGTGACAGAACGAATATCTTTCTGCCAAGATGTATGCTCTGCACCAATTTATGCTAATTCATGTTTTGACGTGCCTTAGACAAAATGGTAAGCCACACTATACAAATACTTTTAGCCATCTGCAAGCTGAATATTGACACTTTTAACTCATTTTGATTATCTTCTGATGTCTTTAGCACTTGGAAGTGAAATTATAAATGGTGAAAAAGCTCCCGAGAACTCACTGTTGTATATGGCCTCGGTGCAGAACAAATACGGCCACAGTTGTGGAGGTTTTCTTGTAAGTGAGGACTTTGTGGTCACTGCTGCACACTGTGATGAAGGGTAAGTAATCAATCCTGCAGGTAATTTGTGGGTCATGTGATAAGAAATCATTTCAGAAGTTCCTATTAATATTAATATGCAACACTTTTCACCTGCTGCACAATGTATGTCACAATTTCTCCCTTAAAATTATACACACACGCACACAAACACAGATAACCATTACCGTTTAGAAAGCCTACTGATTATCTCTGACTTGCAACTTATTTAGGAATCCAAGGAGAATAGTTCTTGGCACCCACGATCTCAGCAAGCCTGCTGACACCGTGAAAGATGTAATCATGAAATGCATACACCCATATTATATAGGTGTTGGAAATGGGAATGACATCATGCTACTCAAAGTAAGTCGATTTTTTTTTTCACTTAATATACAGAAGACATATTTGTGATCTCTAGAACATTTGCATATACAATCTCTTAATCTGTTCCCAGCTTTCTAGTGAAGTCCAACCAAGCAAAAGCATCCAAATGATTAAACTTCCCTCTTCTGAAATAAAGCTAAAGGAAAATGAAAGATGCCTTGTGGCTGGGTGGGGTTTGACAAAAACTGGTGGTCCATTAGTTCACCAGTTGAGAGTAGTGAATGTGTCTGTTATCAGCCCAGAGGTCTGTAGGGAGAACTGGCCAGGTCTTCCGGATGGTCTTATTTGTGCTGGTGGTTATGGCACAAACAAAGGGTTCTGTCAGGTATGTTTGTTTTTTTTGTTTGTTTGATTTTTAAGATTAACTGCTAACTCATGTGTACTTGAAACAGTGTATAAAAATTTTTTTCTCTTGAATAACCCTCTTAGGGTGATTCTGGTGGCCCTCTGATCTGTAATGGTACAGCTGTTGGAGTTGTTTCTTTCAACAAATGGGGCAGATGTGACTACCCGGATGCACCCAATGTTTATGTGGATATCGCAAAACACCTTGACTGGATCAACGAGATTCTCAAGAAAAAGCATTGTTAAGTCTTACATAAATCTTTGCTTTGACACACTGTTATTGTAGTTGTGCGTTTAAATCGCTTTGTGTTTTATGTAGATGCAGAATAAATAAATGTTTCAAATATTCCTCAGCAGACATGTAATTGTAGCAAAGTTGCTGTAGTGACAATATTATTGTGATGTCATTTAGCTCATTTTAACGCAATAAATCACTGGTAAATGATTTAGGGGACAGTAAAAAGGTTCCCCTGGAGTCAGAAACAAAAAAATGCAGTCTTCGCTCAGCATGATGCAGTTATTAGATGAGATGAGATCAGGTTTTCAAGGTTGGCTGGGTAGTTTTAAGAGTGCACCCTGGTGCGCACCCTATGACGGCTAGGATAGGCTTGAGCTCTGTAACCCTGGGTTTAACAAGAAAATGTAATTGCTCTGAGCGGTTTTTGATATGGGCGACATGGGCGGTTGCCCAGCGCACCCAACAGGCCAGGACATGCTAATGCTAGCTGTGTTTCCATAGATCCTAACTGATCTCAGAGCGGTGAGAGCAGACCAACGGTACTTTGGCTTGTGAGCTACTCTCCATTCAGTTTACAAACACCAGCGGTTTAGCCACAATTCGCATGCACAAATCACCAGAAAAAGCAAAAAAAAAAAACTGCCGGACTCTCAGCTTGTCCAGCTCCAGTCATTGTTAAAAGGAGACAGACACACCCAGACACTGTGAGACTGACCCATGCATTTGTGCTTGAAGCGTCACTTATGTCTACGCGGTCATGACATCGCATCATGTGTTGATTGAAGGAAGTGCAGCTTTCAGCAACAATACCTGATTGCGGCCACAGTGGCAGTAATGTAAAGACTGGATGCATACATAATATATTATATATATAATTGACTGGCAAGGAGCTTTAGTAAAGTGCTGTGTGAAATGAAAGGAGAGTGAAGCCTTAATGTGTTTATTTTTAGACCAGATCTTTTTTTTTACTATTTTGTTCTGATATGTAAAACCTTTGAAAGGAAAGGAGATTTAATTTCTTTTTATCATGAAGATGGATATATGTTTGTTGTCTAATTACAGTAAATCTTAATCTGGGAAAATGTTATTTCTGTGGTTAATCTAGTTGGCTGTAGAACTCGGAGATAGTGTCATTAGGCTGTATCAAGAGTAAAATAAAATCAGCAAAAAATCTCAGGTAATGCATCTGCCTTCATCACTTTTTTTGGTTGTGTTTTTTTTTTTTGTATAAAATCTACATTTAAATAAACACACAAAATTAGAGATTATATGTATTTATAAAGGTATAAACCTCCAAAACAATCCACCAAGAAGAACAGAATTACACAAGAAGGTGCATATGAGCCTGTCATATATCAAACTGACAAGATAAAGTAAATATTAAAATTGTGTAAATTATTATCCAACAGGGTGTGGGGGGCATGTAAGTGAAGCCAGCTCAGACATTGCTGGTATTAGGACTGTTCGAGTCAAGTTTTGAGGATATACAGACGAGAACTGGGGTACTGGAAAAAGGCTGATAATGTTGAACTATGCCAACCAACCTAGTAAAAGGAGTTATATGCAATGCATCTGGGAACTATGGTTGAGGAAAAAGCCAACACATTGACCAAGAAACACCACCAGTAGTAGCTCAGTGCATTAACATTAATAGGAGATACCTGCTGTGTGCTTGCCTACCCCTGGGTCACAGCACAATAGGAACAATATTGAGCAATACTGAAATAATGAGCCAACCCTAGTAGAAGAGAGTAGAGGAAATGACAGATGAATATACCGAGCTGAGGATGAAGATTGTGGCCAGGTTAAAGGTAACCACCCAGCCAAGATGATGACGTATAAGAATGTCTGCTGCCCTCTGCTGGCTATAATGAAGAATTAGACAAAGGCAACAGTTGAGCTGTACAAATACAGAAAATTGCATTTGATGGTATATTGATATGGCAAGAGAAAACATAATGTAGTATTTTACAAAACAAAAAAAATCTAAGCAACCACATCTTTACTGACTACTGGGAGTAGCACATGCTCTGCAAAGTTTCTTCTTTCCAAAGCTTTGATCGTCTCTTAATTTATTTCTTGTGAATTCTTGTGAATCAACAAATTCATTTAAAAAGCAAAGTACACTTGAACAAAAACAGCTACAGTGAAATACTTCAACATCATCATCATTATTGTCGTCATCACCATTGCTGTTGTTGTTGATCAAAATATTAACATCATATTTGGTGCTAATAAAGAAGACGGTGGGCGAGATGGACACAATGACCAGTCCAGTACCTGACAACTGAAAAGTGACCGTGTGTTTATCAGTGCCTTAGTTCAGCAGTTCAGTCTGTGGTATGGTACAGTAGACACTAAATTGAATTCACTTCAGTTTAAAAAGAAACAAACAGTACTGATGTTATCTTTTTTTTAACCAGTGAAATTGGTCTACATCATGTAGACAACAAATAAATAATTAACTAATTAATTAGTAAATAAAAATATAAATTCATTAAGTTAATGTAAAACACTATTCACTTGCAATAAACAGAAGTATGGAAGAAATACAGATTAATGTGACAAACTGTGTTGCAATGCAGGCACTGCAAAAGATCTGGAACCACAAAAGATAGCATGATTGACCAAGATATCACAAGCTGCATATTCACACTACAAAAAGGATGTGGTCATAAAGGTCAAGATAAGAATAAAGGTGACAGTGTTCTAGACATGCAAGCAAATGATGACAAATCTAGGATGTAGTGAAAAGAAGTGACGTTGTTATTTTACATTCTGTCAGTGGTCTGCAAGCATTCACTGAATTTAGCTGCTTCATAAAATAACGCATAAAGACATGCTAGAATTAAAGCCTGTATGCTAGCTTTGGTTTTCAAGTCAATAATATTTACTATTTTTGAAATTTTAATTGCATTTTATTCACACTTACCTACAATCAAAGACCAAATTTATGATGGAAGAGGTCAATCTGAAAAATTGCAAATGGTATCCACCCTTATGCAGTATACCGAGTTACAAAAGTCCTTCTAACGTCTTCATGTCTGGGAAACTTACAAAATTACATTTATCATTTTCTTTTTTTTTTTCTTTTTTCTTTTTTTTTCTCTTTTGTCTTTTTCCTTCCAGTGTTTAACCTGACAAATAATAAAGGCTTAGAAACTCTGATTAAAAAAACAAACAAAGCAAAACAAACAAAAATAGTAATTATATCCCCTAACCCAATAAAGATAAAGCCTCTGCTTCTACTGACTCTTAATGCTGTCACAGTGTTATTCAATATCTTAGAGAAATTAAGGTCAGACTCAGTGTAGCCAACTTTATTAACATTTATCAATTTTCTACTAAATACAGCCAAAATGTCATAACTGTGAGTTTGGGAAAGCACAGTTGAAGTTCAAATCTTATCTGGTTTGTGGTTTTTGTGGTTCATCTAGTTTGCTGCTGAAGATTATGCAAAAGTTGTCAAAAGTTTCCAAAGCAAAGTATCATGGTTTTACATCAGCCTTCTTGAACTTTAGCTCACTAAATGAATCTAAATCTGTTATTGCAAGTAAGATATTCTCACAAAATGCGTGTGGGTTCATTTATTACAACAAGCCTGGAGTAAACACCTGAAAAAAATAAGAGTGAGAGCTAAACAGCTTTTAAAATTCACTGGGGTTTGTACATTGCTTATTTAAGTGTCCAATAAAGTGTTATCTATGCAGAATAGTGTAAACCTGCAAAATTTAATTACCAACTGGATTACTAGTTATGAGCTGAAAATAAGTGAGAAGTGTCTGATATGACACCAAGTGTTTACTGGATAAAAATTGTGTTTTTCTCATTCGGTTGGCAGTAAATAATAAAGAAATAAGATTTATTGAGTGAAAATAGCTTTTCACTTCACAGCAGTTGACTCTAATAATAAATTAAATACTAGTTCAAACAAATTGCTGTCTAAATATATTTCATTTATGATGCTGTTTTTACCTTTATGGAACCGGATGATATTTGCTGTTAATCTACTAATTGTTTTAAGTAGTGCATCTTTCTGTAACTGAATTAGTTGATATAACATGTAATGGTCCTAAAGATCTTTGAAGATAAATAACGTATTAAGACATAAATTCAAACTGAGTCAACTATTTAACTTTAATGGCCCAACTCGTTACAACTTGACAAGTTATATGGTACTCCTGAACAAACGCATTCAAGTTGAGCCAGCTATTTATCTACAAGCAGTCATCTGGTTTTATTTTGTAAAACCAAGAGGAAGACACATTTGGTAAGTAAATACTACAAAAAGTTTCTTTTAAATACACGTAGCAGTTTTAATCCTCTAGTTTTAGCAACGTTATCAGATTGCCAGGCAGCCTGAAAGACTTTTTAATTAAAACATTAACACAGAATCGATTCATTTTCTTTTACTTTCTGAATAATATCAATGCTACTTTTCATGAAATATTTTCCAGCTCTCTTTGTTTTAGTAATATGCAATGTTCAAACCTACAAATGTCTTTCATCAGAGTTTTCATATCTTATTTCAAAGGGATGTCAATTTCACCATGCTTTCTATTCTATATAATAAGAAAATGTCAATAGTTAATGTACAGTTAAAGTACAGACATGTAAGGCTACAAAATTCTTTAACCTGCTTGTATCTGTGAAATTGTTACAATTCAATTTTAAAACAATCACAATGTCTTATCTTTTGCATAGTCTGTTAAAAATAAATAAGGCAATATTTTTCTTTTCCCTCCAATAATCTCCGAACAATGATGAATATCAGACTTTTTTTTAATCGTACTTCAGGAAAACATCTTGATAAGATTCAGGAATAATTACTTTTTGCCATCCGGTAGCTTGTTTACAGAAATTACAATAAATAATATTAGGAATAAAATGCCTTTAACTTGAACACTAAAGGACTGAAAGACTGAAACATAAATTTTACTAAGATGACTTAGGAGACTTAGGAATTACTGTAAGGCGATGACACAATTAAGGAAATGCACTAAAAAGAAGAAAAGAAAAGAACACAAAAATGAAAGATGTGTTGTTGTTTTTATCATGCCACAAGCTTTATTAGAAAGTAGAAAAGCTACAAAATATTGTTGTTTTTGGCCTTTTCAAGCAAAATACTTAAAATGAGAAATGAAATAAACATTAAAGCATACTCAAAAAATTTTTTTTGTCATTTTTGTCAAAACGTCTGCTTACAGATTTATTTATTTTCAGCTTAAGTTTGCAATACATGCCATGGTGAGTCTCTTTGGTTAATCTCGCTTAGTTTTTTCACTTTCATTTATCTATTTATTTTTTGTATACATTAAAAAGATCCTTTTCCTGTTTGCATTGTAGCTGTCTGCAACAAACAAGAGCATTCACATTTGGAGGTACTTTGAGTTATATGATATTTGGAAAAAGTTCATGTTTGTGCCAAATTTACCTAACAGACTAACTATGGGCGGCTATCATGTGGACAGTCTGTAAAAACTAAAATATCATAAAGAAGACGAAGAATGAAATAAAATGGATAATGTTCAAGTAAGTGGTTAACAGTGACAGCAGCTGCCAGATTTAAAAAGCATCAAATATGCCCGTCTCGCTTAGCTGGTACCGCTCGATTTCACTGATTTTTGGTTTCAGATGACTTCATTGTTTTTTTGATCCACTTTAGTTGTTTCTTTGAGAGAAACGAGTAGACCGCAGGTTTTGTCATGCA